TTTCTAACAGAATGGAGACTTTTGGGTTTGAGGAAGATCTTGTATGCCTTGATCAAACAAATTTTATGGTTTAAAACCTCCTTACTCAGCAACTTGGCTGGATATGCTATATGAATTTTTTTTAATAAGAATTAAAAAATGACAGTCCACACCAGGTGTGTCAGAGCACACCTGTAATCCTCAGGAGGCTGAGGCAGGAGGACTATGAGTTTAAGGCCAGACCAGGCTACTCAATGAGTTCAAGGCCAGCCTGAACTAGTGAGACCCTGTCTCAAAAAACAAAAGGAAAAGGTGATATTTTCTTTCTTACTACTACCTTCCAGTACTAACATTCTTCTTTAAGATAGGGATCTCACTATGTTGCCTAGGCTGGCTTCAAACTTTCAACCTTTCTGCCTCAGCCTCCCAAAAGGCTGAGATTATTATAGGTATACAGCATCATTGTAACTCTAACACTCTTTAAACTTTTTTTTTGTACCAGGGATTGAACTCAGGTCCTTGTGCTTGCAAGGTAGGTGCAGTGCCACTGAGCTAAATCCCCGGCCCTATTTTTTTTTTTTTTCCTAAGGAAGGGTCTTGCTATGTTGTTGCCAGGCTGGTCTCCACCTCCTGGGCTCAAAAGATCTTCTTGCCCCAGCCTCACAAGTAGCTGGGAGTATAGGTCTATACCAGGGCACTTTGAGAATGTGTTTTGCTATGTAGTCCACAATGGCCTGAAACTCCCTATGCATCCCAGCCTTTGGAGTGCTGGGATGACAGTTAAATGCCACAAGGCCCAATTTATTTATTAAAAAATTTGTTTTTGGTACTGGGAATAGAACTCTGGACCTTGCACTTTCAGGGCAGGCAGCGGCATCACTGAGCTAAATCCCCAGCCCGGGACCAGTTTATTAAAAAAAAAAAATTGTAATTGACAGCCAGGTGGCAGTACAAATGGAATAGAACTCTGGACCTTGCACTTTCAGGGCAGGCAGCGGCATCACTGAGCTAAATCCCCAGCCCGGGACCAGTTTATTAAAAAAAAAAAATTGTAATTGACAGCCAGGTGCGGCAGTACAAACCTGTAATATCTCAACAGTTCACACACCGAGGCAGGAGTGCCAAGAGTTCAAGGACAGCCTGGGCTACAAAGTGAGGCCCTGTCTCAACCAAAGAAAAAAAATTTAAATGATGCAAAATTGTATTTGTTTATAGGGTACAGTGTCATGTTTCCAACTAACATTCTATGTAATGAAAAGAAATTATAAACTCAACAACTTAGAGTAGAAAGTTTTAAAAAGCATGTTTAGGGCTGGGGATTTAGCTCAGTGATGCCGCTGCTTGCTTTGAAAGTGCAAGGTCTCAAGTTCAATCCCCGGTACAACACACACACAAAGTTATATTCTAAGTTTCACACTAAATTTTGTGCATCTGTGCCTTGTACAGTGTTTTAAATGGGATACCTGAGGGTTTATTTTCAATCTATATGTGGTTTTGGACTTATGAATCAAATCACTAACTCAATAATTTCTGCTTCTCTTTATGGATTCAGGGTCAAGCAAGCACAGCAGTAAATAGCTGTAACCCCAGCCCTCAAGATGCCCAGGTGGTAGGAGCTCAAACTGGAGGGCAGCCTGGGAAACTCAGCAAGATCTATCTCAAAATGAAAATTTAAAAAGTGCCTTGATTTGATCCCCAGTACCACAAAAATAAAACAACAAAACAAAAAGACCCTGCAGGGTTGGGGGTGCAGTGCAGTGGTAGTGTCTTGGCATGTGAGAAATGAACCCAGGGCCTGTACATACTAGGCAAATGCTCTAGAGCTGAGCTATGTCTCTGGGACTTTATTATTTTTTTGGTAGTGGTGATCAAACTCAGGACCTTGTGCTTCCAAGGCAGGCGCTGTGCCACTGAGCTACATCCCTGGCCCGCTCTGAGCCTTTCTGTGACAAGTCTCACCAAGTTGCTGAAACCAGCCTCTGAAATGCTCTCCTGCCTATGCCTCTGGAGTAGCTGGGACTACAGACGAGCGCCACTGTGCCTGTCTTTTACATGTCACCCATTTACTGCTTAGGCAATCCATGAATCGGAGCACGAAGGTCTGTGCTCGGTAAGAACTTGTTAGGTCACATACGGCACGGCACGTACACGGCAGATGACTGCACATAAAGGGAAGGAACAGCTTTGAAAACGTGTGGAAAAGCTTTCATCATCGTAGTCTGGAATCTCTGTGGACTCCTTACACACAGGTCAGTCCAAACCCACCCGACGGTACAGGACGGTCTGTCATTTGCTCAGCTGGGTTGTCCTCTGTGTCACTGCTGCCGCAAGCTGTCCTGCTCACACGGGCAGCAGAGCACTGGAACAGCGCCTGAGACAGGAGGCGCACCCACTGCCCCATGACTGAGGGAGCTTCATTTCAGCAGGGTGTGGTGGCACATGTGTCATCCAGCACCTTCGAGTTCGAGGCCGGCCGGTGCTACACAGTGAGTTCAAAGCAGCCTGGACCACCTAGTGAGACCCTGCCTCAAAAACAAAAGCTTCATTTCAGCCTTGACTTTTCTGGATTCTTGGAAGGGATCAGGTGGCCACTTTCTAAATGAAAGTAAAAGTGTCTTTCTTCTAAGTCCTACACTCCACATTACGTATCCATGCACAAGGGTACGGAAAACTGTGGGAAACAGGGTACCAGACCCTTTCCGTGTCAGTGCTTAACTGTATAAACTGCAGAGGCAGGAGGATCGCTGTGAGTTCGGGGCCAACCTGAACTACACGAGACCCTGTCTCACACATCAAACAAACCCCCTGCTGTGTACTGAACTGCTCTGGACATGGTAACATACTATAGATATGTAAGGCAGAGAATGAGGTTTGCAGGAGATAGAGCCAGAATTCCCAGCCCCTCTTTTTATTTATAGTATTATCAAACCAGCCACTTGCAAGTTTCCGGGCATCTCATCAGCTGCAATCTGAAGGCGCATCTGTGAGATCATGAACAGGAGGAAGGGCACAAAGGGAGCCCGAGCAGAAGGGCATGCAGCCGCCCCCCGAGGAGCCCTGCAAACCACCTGAGCGCTGGCAGAGGGGAAGCCGCTCCTCACTGGCCTTCCAAGCAAGTCCATTTGAAACTATACTGGTCTGAGGCAGACACTTTTAGCCTAGGAAACAAAAGCCTTTCTTTTTCTAATACAGCACCTTCAAAAGACTTCAATAAAGCCCCAACATGTAGCACACTCAGTACAATTCACTTTTGCTTTCCTCTTTCCTTTCTTCAGACAAACACCAAACAAAATGCAGATGAAGGAGGCGAAACACAACTGGACGCTGACTTAGGAACACTGATTTTACTAATCCTGAAGAATTTCAAAATATTATGCTGGGTAATGTGACTCTACTTAAAATAAAGTATTTGGGTGCTGCTTTTCAAGTATAGTCAACTAACAACTGAACCGCTAGAAAGTCCCTAAAAATCAAAACCAAACAAAGCACAAGGTTGTTAAGGAAGTTAATAACCTTTTCAAACCCAGAAGGCAGGTTACTTATCCTTTATTTATCTCGTTGTGGTCATGGAGACCACCCCAATCTCCCATAAAAGCCCCTCTCCACACTGCTGCAATATCATGGCATTAAGGAGCTCAAAGGTGGCAACAGACATAAGGACCACAGGTTTTGTTACACCATGATGCTGGTAATGTTTGAATGAGAACACTGGATATGGATGGTCAGATGAAAGATACCAGAATGTCAGACAGCCCATCGACTGCTGTTGCCATGAGATTCAACAGTCAACATCAGTCTGATAAGCTACCCGACAAGGTGGTACGGCCATGGAGATGTTGCGACGAGAGGCAAAACAAGCAGACATTCAGGCAGGATTTGCTACAATAGACCAAGCATTTCTGACCTGTTGGAATTTAACCCCAGTTCTAGTCTAGTTTAACACATTGGTATTGATTTTCCTAAAGGGAAAAAATAAAATTGTTTATTTTCCTACCAAGCGAAACAAAATGAATAGGTTCCATCAGAAACATCCCAAAGGAAAACCACACCAAGAATAAAACACAGAAAGGAAACTGGGTTACATATAAAAGCAAACTTTTGCCTGTTAAAACCACATGCTAACTAAAATTAATACATATATGACAAAGTACAGTTTAAAAAAATGAGTAATTTCTGAGGTAGTGGGGGCCGAACCCAGGCCCTCATTAAGTGCGCTGCACCGCTGAGCTACATGCCAGCCCTCTCTGGTGTGTTTAGGGTCTGTGTATGAGTGATCTCCTCCCGTTCTCACACCGAGAAATCCCTCAATTAGGCTGATCTGAGGTGCCCAACCCAGCATAAGAAAAGCTGTCCTGGGGTGGCTATTTCATGAAAATAGAGGGTTAAGGGCCTCTCTGGTCGTGGAAGATTGGGCAAGGCTGTTCAGGCGGCAGAAGCCAAGTGGAAGTAAAAAAGTAAAACGCTCAAGAAAACGGACACGATTTTGGAATGATCAAAGATGTCTTTATAAAGTTTTTTCATGACTTCATTCTAAATACACAGAATAAAAAATGGTGTCAGCACATTCATGAGACACCAACCAGACTTTCCTCATACTGTCTCAGAATTTAAAGATAAATTTCCCCAGAGAGTGTGCAATGCATCATAAAATGGCCTTTTTTCTGAGGTGGAAAGGGAAGGACTGGGCAGGATGGCGTATTAAATTGTACCATGATAGACATGCAAGACTGTTATCCAATTATAGAACTTATACACATTTTGATGACTCAGAAAAACAAAGCAATCATTTGTGACAAGCCTAAAAAGCTTGACATATTTAACATACTCAGGAACTTCTGGTGTGGCAGGAATTCTCTAATTGTCCCATATGGGCCTTTTCAAAGTACCAAAAGGCCAGTTTCTGGTAAGTCTGTGGCTGAACACCACAGTCCAGCCTAATGAAACGCAAGGTGGATTTAATCCAGGTGGACACCTCACCTTCACACACACAGGAAAAGCGTGTCAGTGCAAAACAGGGACTAAACTGCTCTCAGGACGTCTTTAAAATTGATACCGGTTGGAAAGGGAATTTTCCTTCCTGATGTGGAGTCCTCCCAATTTAAGGCAGAACCCATCCACTACCACTGCTGCAGTTAAAAACGGCTCTGCTTATTTAGTTTTCTCCTCAGAGTTCAACCGCTGCTGAATTCGTTTGGCATAGCTCTGTGCCATGGAGTTAATGATAGACAGGATAAAGTAACACACCATCACAACCACCAACTTCTCAAACACCCAGGACAGCCAGTTTTCTCCCTGGGGGAATAAAAGCAGAACAAATCACATGAGAAAGGATGCATCCATCTAACAGTAAAGAGGAGATCACCTATACTGTTTTAAGGAAAATAATGGAATATAAGAAAACAACCTATAAAGCCAACACAATTAAAAACGCAAAGCCTGCATCTCCAGCTACCCTGACATCTACACACAGGGCCACAAGATCCGACTCTGCTGGACACAGAGTCCCGGTTTAGAACAATGCAAGGGTGCATTTGTCTCCTGTCTTTTGCTGTGATCTAAGAATAGTCTCTGGTTAAGCGTGACTCTCTGATGTTGCTGTGCTGACACTTGCTGAGCCGTGTCAAGTCGGTACTAGGAGCTGCCTTTTTTGAGACAGGGTCTCGCTCTGTAGGTCAGACTGGCCACAAATGCACTATGCAGCCCAGGCTGGCCTCGAACTCCTGTCTCTGCCTCAGCCTCCAGGGTGCCGAGGTTACAGGCTTGTTTGAGCTCAGACACCATGCAGAAGCAGCTTTTCCAATATAAATGTAAGTCGTGTTTGGACAACTGAGGGCAGCAAAGGGCCACAGAAGACTGCAAGGCCGTTAAAAACTGTGTTTCAAGTTTCTCAGGTTATTGCTTACTCTTTTAGTCATTCCTCCTTGCCACAGAAATGTTTACAGAAAAGGCAGCCTTGGTTTAAGTTTTAAAGTTCAGCTGTGTTCAGAGCCTTGATTAAAAAAAAAAAAAAAAAAGATCATTTTCCCATGGCTAAGATAAAAAAGAGCAGGCAATTACCTCACGAAGTCTAATACTTTGTTACGCGGAATATTTTAACTTTTTATCTAGTAAATCATTTAAGATCAAGGCAACGATTCACTCTACATAGCAGAACTTTCCATTAGTCCTGCCCTTGTCTTTACAATGTGCCCCTCAAAGCAGTTATTTTGGGAGAGGAAGTGGCTGGTTGAAGAGGCACATTTCCCAGTGGAGTATACTCAGGGCTCCAACTTCTGCTTAGGAAAGCGGCCAGCAGCCTCCCTCCCTCCCTCGCCAGGCAGCAGCAGACTCACCTGGGGCGCGCCCGCCTCGCTCCGGTGGTGCAGCTTCTGCCGCTGGGCCTCGAGGTATTCCTGGAAGGGCTTCTGCAGAGACGGACCTATGCCAGGGACAGCACTGGCGGCAGGGGACAGAAGCCGAGGAGAGATACATTTGGGAAGAAAGCAGGAGAAATGTTAAAGAAAATCCACTTACCACCTGGACTCAATAGCAGGGATTGGGTGCAAAGAGGAGCAAAATATAAAAATCAGAGTTGTCAAAAAATCCTGTGAACTCTTTTTCAAGTGGGTAAAAATCCCTCCTTCGAACAACTCCTGAAAGTAGGCAAACCCCTGCCTGCTGTGAACTTGTCCGGGAGGAACTAAGAGCCACTTGTAGCAGGAGGGCGTGCTCGGAGAGAGCCCGCGGGGGCCAGAGGAAAAAATGAATGACTTCTGCGAAGCCCGCATTTATCAGCACCGGTTCCTGTAAGAACTGGTTTGAACCGATTAATAAGGAAATGACTTATGCTTGTGTCATCCCCAGTTAAAAAAGAAACTGCCCGCCCTCTCTCGGACTTGTCCCATCTCCTCAGAGGGGCGGCGCTTTCTCAATCTAAGTCCTTATTAGGACAATCCGTGCGTCATCCTTATCCAGAAAGAATGCATTAGCAAATTTGGGAGGCGCCTCCCCCGAGTCAGAAGTCAGTGATTAACAAAGGAACAAAGAGGGGGCTGTGAACCCTGAATCCTGTCGCGCAGTACGGCGGATTTTGCACAGAAACTCCCGCTCACTGCCCAACAGCTTGTTCCGAGAGGACTGGGACTGCACCCCGATAAGGAGCCCTCTCACCCACAAGCGCAGGGCCGCCTGCTCGCTCAACCGGTTTGGCAGCTGTAGCCATCAGGCTCCGGGTTCAGCTCCGCTCCCAGGCATTTTTTAAATGGTAACTTGGGGCAACTTAGAGAATCAAATATCTTTATTTTCTCATCTGCCACACCTGTTTCCGAGGGCCAGCGCCGCATTTGTAACAACAGCACCTAATGCTTTCCCTGAACGCTTACCGATTCAGAGGAACTTCATCTCTTTTCTACAATTCATGCTGCTCTTTGTAATAAAAACCCAGAAGAGATCTTTGTTTTCTGCCATTGTATTTACCAGAAGCTACTAAATTCCAAACACGTGGTTGAGGTTTTTCTTCAATCTTATTATCTATCCAAGTACTAAACACAGAAATTACCATTTGTGCTCATGCTACAGAAAAAGACTGAAAACAAAGGTACAAGAAAGTCCACGCCCACAGAGAATTTAAAATCATATGGGAATTCAAAATTCTCCCTCCCTCCCTCTCTCTCTCTCTCACACACACACACACACGAACTGATTTGTGAACAGGATATTTTATAATTCAATAATGAAGTTTCTGGTACACAGGATACACAGTAAAGGAACTGGAGGGAGAAAGGACAGAGCAGTGTGGATGAAGTGGTCCAAAAGGTCCTTGAATGGGAGCCTGATGATATGCAAAAGGCCGGAGCAGACAGGCAGGGGGAGCAGCAAAGCTAAGGGCGGGAGGCCTAGGACAGAGCCCAGGAATGCTCGGGCTCTAGCGGTAGAGAGATCATCAGCAAAGATTCTAACCACAAAGGGGAAACGGCGGGACAACCTTTTTTTAGAAGGGAGGTTTTCCTTAGTAGTTCACATAACCTTTCCTTATATAATCTGGATGGGAATGTAAAGAGCTCATCCATTTTACATGAGATAAACCACCGCAATATAAAGAAAGAATTCCAGCAAAATGAATTGCATAGAAAGTCTGGCTTTGAAAACAGCAGATGTATAAGAACTTTCCTTGTCATAAGCTAATCCATTTACTTTAATACCAACACTCTATGTCATCATTTAAAAATACCAAGGGTCAGGCTGAGGATTCATTCAGCTCAGCGGCACCATGCCTGCCTTGCCTCAGGCAAGGGCCTGAGTTCCATCCCTGGTATCAAAACAAACAAACCAACCCAAGGGTCAGCCTAGGCGGGCTACACAGGGTTCATAGACTACATAGTGAGACCCTGTCTCCAGAAACAAAACAAATCAAAGAAAACCTAGGACAGCCACAGTTAAGCTCTTAAGAGAAAGTAAGCAAACCTAAATGTTAGAAAGATTCTATTTTTGTTGCTGTTGTTGAGGTCAGTAAGGGATTAGCCACAATCATGTTAAATTTCCTTCAAAATAATTTGAAGATAAATAATTTGTTACTGTAAATTCAATAAGAAATACACCTTAGCTAATAAAGAGCCTAGGATATGGTACATTCACCTAATGTGCAACTTTCCAACTTTCAGAGAATCACCTTGGGGATAACACTGGATAAATGTATCAAGGTGCTCTGTATGACTCGCTTTGTGGAGCTCTGGTAGTGTGGAGGATGTCTACACAGATTCCCACGGGAGAGTAGGGGAACAGGTACGGAGGGTTAAACCCAGGGCCTTTGGATGGAACCCACTGAGTTATAGCCTCAAGCCCTTTTCAGTTTTGAGACAGTCTTGCTAAGTCACTAAATTGTGATCAGTAGTCCTCTCACTGAGTGCTGGGATTATAGTCATGCGCTACTGTGCCTCATTGGTTACGTTTTTATTAGCAATATACTAACCACCAACAAATAAATGGTGTGAAGAATCTAAAAGTTAACACATTTAAAATCTAGGTATTAAATGTTATAAAGTCAATTTATATGACATTTATTTGATTTATATGATGATATATTTATATGTATCAGATTCTTTTAATCTTTTATTATATACTCCTCAAAACTTTAGTTGTCATTTCTCTATCTCTTAACTTCTACTCGTTTTTTTTTTTTTTTTTGAACTCAGGTCTTTGTGCTTGCGAGGCAGGTGCCAGAACCACTGAGCTAAGTCCCTGGCCCTACTCATTTTTTTTGAGACAAAGTCTAAGTAGCCCCCGGCTACCCTGGACTCAAAGGATCCTCCTGCCTCAGGCTCCCTAGTGCCAGGAGTGCAGGTGTTCAACACCACACCCTCAAACTTTCACTCTTAACATGAATTTAAGGCAAATAATACCAATTTGCCACTTCATCCCTCAAGTAATTTCCCAGCAGCCGAGAAGCAAGAAATCACTTTGACAGAGGATTCACTGAACGTGCACACGTGGGGGGAGAGGGCGGGGGGGAAACTTCACCACAGTCCAGTGCTGTTAAATTTGGAGCAAGAGTGTGTGTGCACCTGGCTAAGAACGAGTCTCAACCTTAGCAAGTGTGTGAGGTACGAAACCTGCCACTGGGTTCTGATTAAGTTCAAAGGACCAGATTTTGCAATACAGAACATAAAGTCAGAGGAGAACAAAGACAGAGAACTATTGGTCTAAAATATACCGAAACTAGCCTTGTAAATAGTCACCTGCACTGTGAGAAAGCCTTAAAATAAGAAAAGAAAGTAGATCTCATTTACTTTTCCTTGTTGCAGACCTTCAGCAAGGTGGGTAGAAAAATCTTTGTGGGCAGTAGGTCAGTATCTTGGTGGTTTTATTCTTGGCACAAATATATCATCAAAAATCAAAATTTTAACAAATTATTCTAATACAAGTTGTCTCATGTCTGTTATTGATTTTTTGAAAGGACAAAAACAACCTTAGAAAAGGAGAAAAAAAGCCTCACAAGCACAAGGACCTGAGTTCGATCCCTGGTACCAAAAAAAAAAAAAAAAAAAGTGTGGGGGAAGGTTTAAACAACAACAATAAAAATCTACAAAGCTCCAAATCCACTCAGGGCTCAAAATCAGTTTTATGGCCACAATTGTTCCCCAGCCTCATACACCTAAGAATCTGTTAGAATAGACCCAGGAAGGGCCAGGGATTTGGCTCAGTGGTTCCACCACCTGCCCTGCAAACACAAAGGTTGGAGTTTGACCCCTGGTACGGAGAGAAAAAAAGAACAGACCTGGGACAAACTTCTTTGCTGTTAAAAAAATCCATTTAAAATATCATATGGGCAAAATTCTGTCAAGAACTCTAACCAATATGCAAACAAAACTGATTATTTTTCTAGCGGTTAGTGCACATGTTACCCTGCGTCTGGAAATCGCTCATCTGTCAGGAAATCTGTACCCTTCAGCTTGCTTCATATGTCCTCACTGTAAAGGGTGGCGTTATTCTCTGCACTCTGAGAGCGAGAGAATCTTCCGCAGGAAGCATCACGATTGGCAGAGGTCATACCGAGTGGGTGAAGTGACTGCTCCTGTCTCACAATACTCGCCTTTTCATTTGTTGGTTCATACGAACACACCCACTCCAATCATCAATCATGCCTAGAATTTACCAGACATTATCATTCCCATTTTTCAAAGGAGTCCTTTTCAAATTGTGAACATTTCAAAGAAGCTACTTTACCATATAGAAAAAAAACCCACAACATCTGATTTACTTTGAATTTTTCTCACTGACAGCCATCAAACTAGGTTCTGTTATTGGAAGATCTGAAATTTTCATGCCAGGTGTGGTGGCGCACACCTGTGAGCCCAGCACTTAGGAGGCTGAAGCAGCAGGATCGTCACAAGTTCAAGACCTGCCTGAACTACGCAGGGAGACTCTGTCTCAAAAAACCCTCCCCTCCAACCAAACAACAACAACAACAACAACAACAACACACACACACACACCCCTCCAAGAAGATCTGAAAATTTACTTAAACTGGTCATGACTTTGTTTGGATTTTTATGGTCAGGTGTGTCTTCATGAAAGTGGGACAGTGTGCTTAAGAACACAGAAATGACCTTAAAGAATATATCCATTTGTCTGGTTCAGTTCCATATATAAACAGCATACTTAGGGGTTGAATACTGAAATGCCTAAGCCTGAGAATATTATACAGGTACTAGTAGAATAAAATTTTAATCCAGGCTTTGCTCCTTTTTCAAACACTCTTTTGAGTATTTTAACACAAATGTTAGCATGTCAGTTATAATCACTTTCTTAAAAAACATATTGATTATTAACATGGGCACCTAAAAGGAAGGATATAGGGAAATAAGCCTTTTCCTTAGCAAAAAGCCTGGGTGTTTTTATGCAATATGCTGAGCCCGAATTATTTAACATCCCTCTGATGATTAATCAGAAAGTCTAAA